AAATAAACAGCCATCAAAATACACAGTATGTCTGCTGACAAAAATGCATTTCCATGTAATTCAAACGACTGTTCAGTTGTTTGCAAGGAATTTTTACATGGGCCTCTAGAATTAGCACAACAGTGCACAGTGTTGTTTGATCATGTATGAGGAGCCAAAAGTGTTCACTTATAACACCATATTTAAGCATAGAGTTGTGATCCACCAATCTACCCGTTAAAACTAACACCAGGCACAACTTGAGATCAGTCAGTATTTCTTCTACTCTGTGTCTGGCCTTATCTGGGTGTGGTTTTTACAACTTCTGCTGTAGCTCTGCTTGTAGAAGAAACCACAAAGTCTCTTGAGGAGCCCGGAGGGGGAGAACGGATAGTTTTTAGACCAACCCATTTTCATTGTTTTACCATTTGATAGACAGCGTTTTATTTATTTGCATTGCTCTGTTTTGCTTTAAATGTCCCCTCATTTCATAAAATATACGAGTGCTGGGATATTTACATTGCTTTTTAAGATTAATAACAGATTGCGTTTTATCCGTTCTTAAATGTCCTGTCCTGGATGTGGTAATAACTGTCACCATTTGTGTTCGCTTTAAAAGTGTCTATTATTTTACAGGTTTAAGGCGCTCCCCAGCGGTAATTTACTGTCATTGCATTAACGAGATTTTTTTTAATGCACTCAGAAAAAAAAATATTTTTTTCTGTAAAGTCAGTCCTTGAGGTCAAATCACACAAGACTACTTTGATAAAGGCTAACATGACCTGACGTCACACAGACTAATGACTTCAGGAATTATATTCATATATGCCGTGTAAACTGACAGCACGGACGAAAGAAAAATGTCAATTTACGTAGATTTATAAAAATGTAAAAGTTTAGCCTATTTATTCATTCTGCAACTGCTGCTGAGAATTGAAACTACGCAAGGTTGACTAGACTACTGATTGTAATAAGTAATAATAATATTAACAATAATAATAAGAAGAACAACAACAATAATCATAATAGCTGTTGCTGTTGTTGTTTCGTCACAACAATAAAATCAAAACCGTTCATTTAGCGCAGTCGCTGTAAGAGGCCAACACAGTGCCGTTTCACAACAATTACACAGATTATTAATGAAGACTGGTTAATCAGTGCCATCTACAGGCGGAATTTCGTTTCTGCAGCTGCAAAAAAAGAAGCCAACTGCAGCCTCGTACTCTTGCCCATTGTTTCTACGTGTACATAAAGCAAGAGGAATCGAAATGCAATTTTTCCTGTCGATTACAACAAAATCTTATATTTTAATGAAACAGAAGGGGTAGGACAATAAATGAATTCCATTAAATAACTATGTTTTTTTTTTTTGTATAGTGATCATGAGTAATGATAGCTATGGCCTTTCAACTAGGACTTTCGGGTATATACTAGAGCACTGTCTAATATCTAATTCAGAGCATAACATTTAATATGTATTTAGATACATTTTTAATTTCGGTACATGTTAGTGATTTTCCGGTACAATAGTCTTATACAGGTGCAAGGACCTCATGCCATGGAGGCAGGTGTTACGGTAAATTCAGTTCCCCCTGTTCCCCCCTCATTGCGCATGTCGAAATCATGACGTCTTTACTTGACGCTGCTCTGCGGGGCTTAGATAGGCTTAATTCGTTTGTGTTTGTACCTTTATTCCGTCCTGTTCCTCGCAGTAAGCGAATTATCACGTTGATTGTTAAATGGCTTGTAGTTAAACATGTTTTAAAGTATAAAATGTGTTGTTAGCAGATGTTTTAATGCTCAAACACTACGTGGGTTATCTAGATAATGCTAGTTTTGGCTCCGTTTCCAGCTACTCCGAGTAACATAAACTAGATTTAAGGTGCCATTTCTGATTTAATTAACGTTACCGTACATGCAGACACATTCTGTAGTTCAGACTTCAGTGATTTTTAAGGTGTATTTATGTCCCATATCCTCATCAGTCTCGCTAAGTTGTGTGAATAGATTTGAAACATTTGTTGCTGAAATAAATAAACTGCATTACACAGCACAGTAATTAGTCTGTGTTATCATTGTTAGACTACGTATCCCAGTGCACCTAGGAAGTTGGTTTCCCTGTAGTCTTTGAGGCTGAAGTCTAACTGTTATGGTACTAATGTGACTTGTCTTTACAGTAACTTTTATTCACATTATACCAGCTTTAGAATGCAGGGGGAACATCTTTAACCAGAGCCTGAGAAAAGTGGTTTCCCCTTGTATATTACAGCTGGAGTGGATTTAAAGTGCAATAATGCTGCTGAAAATCTATGTCTGTACAAGATCATTTTACTCAGTAAGCTTTAGTCATATTATGCCATCTTTACACTGAGAATACAGGGGGAACATCTTTAACCAGACCACTTTTACACTGAGAATGTAGGGGGAACATCTTTAACCAAAGCCCTGAGAGAAGTGGTTTCCCCTTGTATATTACAACTGGAGTGGATTTATATTACAGCTGGAGTGGATTTAAAGTACAATAATGATGCTGATAATCTATATCTGTACAAGATCATTTTACTCAGTAAATTTTAGTCAATCTGTACCATCTTTACACTGAAAATACAAGGGTAACATCTTTAACCAGAGCCCTGAGAAAAGTGGTTTCCCCTTGTATATTACAGCTGGAGCTGAAGTGCAATAATGCTGCTGAAAATCTGTATCAGTACAAGATCATTTTATTCAGTAAGTTTTAATCATATTATACCATCTTTACACTGAGAATACAGGGGGAACATCTTTAACCAGAGCCTGAGAAAAGTGGTTCCCCCTTTTATATTACAACTGGAGTGGATTTAAAGTAGAGGAATGATGCTAATAATCTATTTATGTGCATGATCATTTCACTCAGTAACTTTTATTCATCTTATATAATCTTTAGAACTGAGAATACAGGGGGAACATCTTTAACCAGGGCCTGAGAAAAGTGGTTTCCCCTTGTATATTACAGCTGGAGTGGATTTAAAGCACAGCAGTGATGCTGATAATCTATATCTGTGCATGATCATTTCACTCAGTAGCTTTTATTCATATTATACAAACTTTATACAAGAACACAATTATTATGGTACTTTTATAACCGTTTGTAATATAAGGAAATTATAGGATTATCATAGTACCTTTATGCCCCGCTGTAGTGTAGGGAAAGGAAACCATTTACCAGGAACACTGATCAAATCCCAGTTGTTTACTTCCATTAAACATGGTAACATAGTAACAGATAACATAGCTGTATCAAGAAACATTACAGTGTAGTATACCTGCATGTAGTAATCACTGAATTTGAGAAAAATGGTAAAACATATAATGTATCTCTTTTTTTCATTTAATTAACTACAGGTTACATTTTTTTGACCCATTGTAGTTACTGGGAGAACAGAAAAAGCAAAGAAAGCATTATAGTATATTAAACTGATCCTAATTGCCAGTTTTTACTGGAACTTCCTTTTTTTAGGGGCACTGGGTAAATCTGTTCTACTGTTTAGTCTCTGTATAAAACAGTGTTAATGGAAGAAGTAGTTGGAGTAAAATAAAAATAAAAACAAATTAATATAATAGTGCATTAAATCTTTAATAGCTGTAATCGACTATCAAACTGAGAATGCTGAATGTATTCTCAGTATAAAGTTGGTATAATATGAATAGAAGTTACTGAGTGAAGTGATCATACACAGAAATAGATTATCAGCATCATTGTTGTACATTAAATTCACTCCAGCTGTAATATACAAGGGGAAACCACTTTTCTCAGGCCCTGGTTAAAGATGTTCCCCCTGTATTCTCAGTTCTAAAGATTATATAAGATGAATAAAAGTTACTGAGTGAAATGATCATGCAGATATAGATTATCAGCATCATTCCTCTACTTTAAATCCGCTCCAACTGTAATATACAAGGGGAAAACATTTTTCTCAGGCTCTGGTTAAAGATGTTCCCCCTGTATTCTCAGTGTAAAGGTGGTATAATATGAATAAAAGTTACTGGGTGAAATAATCATGCATTGAAATAGATTATCAGCATCACTGTTGTACATTAAATCCACTCCAGCTGTAATATACAAGGGGAAACCACTTTTCCCAGGCTCTGGTTAAAGATGTTCCCCCTGTATTCTCAATTCTAAAGATTATAAAATATGAATAAAAGTTACTGTAAAGACAAGTCACATTAGTACCATAACAGTTAGACTTCAGCCTCAAAGACTACAGGGAAACCAACTTCCTAGGTGCACTGGGATACGTAGTCTAACAATGATAACACAGACTAATTACTGTGCTGTGTAACTTAATGCAGTATATTTCTTTCAGCAACAAATGTTTCAAATCTATTTAACCTACAGAACTTAGCGAGACTGATGAGGATATGGGACATAAATGCACCTTAAAAATCACTTAAGTCTGAACAACAAAATGTGTCTGCATGTACGGTAATTAAATCAGAAACGGCGCAATAAATCTCACTTCTGTTACTCGGAGTAGTTGAAAACGGAGCCAAAGCTAGCATTAGCAAGATAACCCACGTAGTGTTTGAGCATTAAAACATCTGCTAACACATTTTATACTTTTAAAACGTGTTTAACTACAAGTCCTTTTACAAACATCGTGATGATTCGCTTACCGTGAGGAATAGGACGAAATAACGGTACAAAAACAAACGAATTAAGCTTATCTAAGCCCCGCAGAGGAGCGTCGACTGAAGACGTCATGATTTCGACATGCGCAATGAGGGGGGAACAGGGGGAACTGAATTTACCGTAACACCGGAATTCTGCATAATTTGGTGATTTTCCAAATTGCCCATATCAGATAAGTAAAGATAAAGTGAACTTAAGGAAACAACAATCTGTTAGACAGAAATGATAAATAAGCTATATCTAAGCAAGGCAAAACATATCGTCGTGGTGAATGCGGCACATCTTTCAAGAGACCAATCACAAGGTAACTTCAAAATGACGTTGCAGTGTTTGCAGCCAATCAGGAAATTTAACCGAGATCTGAGAAAGCAGTGTTACCGAAAGCGTATGAATTTAGCTGGCCTAAGAACTCGGTTTTGTGGAAATAAAGCTGAGAAGACCAGAATTCTGACAAAATTGTGTATATATTTAGATTTTTTATTTTGTTGGATTCTTTGCAAGTGGAGAAATGAGCCTGTCGTTAAGGTAACCTGAACATCATAACTGGCTAGAAGTGGGTAGCTCGGCAGCTTGCCATTCACTCGGTTAGTTTGTTAGCTTAGCTAGCTAGGTTAACTATGTAGCTAGCTAGCTAGGTAGGAAACTGTCACAAGGATACGCAGCATAGTCTAAATTTACTTTCCAAGGATAGCTAACTGTGGTTATAATCACAGAGGTGTTTTGTGATTTATAGGAGATACAAGTTACGTTTGGGCTGATAGCTAGGTTAGCTAGCTAACTAGTTAGGAGGTAACGTTAACCTTGCAACATCAAACCGCAGCTAGCTTGCCAGTGAGATTTTTCAGGAACTAAAGGACATAGGTTAGACATTTTACGTTTCGTTTATCGTAACGTTATCTAGTTATTATGTTATCGCTGAAATAGAACATTTGAAGCACCATATTTTTGATCAGGGAAACAAGAAGTTTGTTAAAGCGTTATAGTTAAAGTTATTTGCGCTTTGTTTTGGCTTAACAGATTATCTATCGCTCGCTGGTTGCTAGGGAAACCAAGCAGGCCTACCATTAAGCACTGATTTTAATTTTTACAAGGCTCAACAGTGCATATTTATCTGTGATTTCCTTCAGGCCCGAACTGTCTACTGATAAGACTAAACGGAAGAAGAGGAGAGAGCTTACTGATGAACAGAAGGATGAAATAAAAGAAGCATTCGAGCTCTTTGACACCGACAAGGATAAAGAAATCGATTATCATGAACTGAAGGTAAGGTATTTTTCTTCAGTGTATGTTTTTTCTCCCTCTTACTTGGAATTATCTGAACACATTTGATATTTTTCTAGGTTGCTATGAGAGCTCTTGGCTTTGAGGTGAAGAAAGTTGATGTATTGAAGATCTTAAAAGACTATGACAGAGAAGGAACAGGAAAAATAACTTTTGAAGATTTCAAAGAAGTTGGTAAGTTGCCTTAAAATTAGTTTAGAAAACATGTTGTCTGTTCTGTGTATGTTTGTGTGTATTTTAGGCTGGGAATTTTACAGTGGTTGGAGATTTTAGTTAGAACTAAACCATAGAATAGTAGGTGACACTGTGGATGTTTGCGTTTATTTCATCAGTGACTGACAGAATATTGGATAGGGACCCAAAAGAAGAAATTTTGAAGGCGTTTAAGCTTTTTGATGATGATGATTCGGGAAAGATCAGCCTGAGGAACCTGCGCCGTGTGGCCAGAGAGCTGGGAGAAGACATGAGTGATGAGGAGCTGAGGGCTATGATTGATGAATTTGATGCTGATGGAGATGGAGAGAGTAAGTATACAAGATCTTGGTAAGGAAGGAAACATGTTTTGTTCTGCTTGAGGAAGTTCAGTTAAAGCAGGGTTCCTTAACCAAATTGTTCATGTTATTGTTTACTTAGCTCCAAGTACTCCTAGATCAGGTATTCAGGGTTCTTAACGACTTCGTTCAGGTGTTTTGGGACCTGTGATAGAGCAAAAACAATTTGCTGGACCCTGAGAACTGGTTTGAGAACTACTATGTTTAAGTATTCAAGAGGACCTCCAAATAGGATGTAAACAGTGCTTTTATGAGTGTAGAATAAACAACCTAATGTTTGTGTGCCAAAGTGCTTCTTAACCTATTTATTTTCACTCTTAGTCTGTTGGCATACAAGTGCCTATGCAAAAAATTATACCATTGTTACTTCAAGCAGCTATTTTTCTTAGAAGCAGTGTAAGAATGGCTGTGTTAGTTGCATTGTACCATAATTTCTTTACTGTTTGCAGTTTAATATCAGGTTTCCCTAATCTTTGTTTTTTAGTTAATCAAGAGGAGTTTATATCTATTATGACTGGAGACTCCTGAACATTCTGCTTGGTCACATCTCACCAAATATGTTGTTGCTCATGAAAAGTGCTCATAAGGGCCTTTTTCAGAAAAAAATATTTTCAGACAGTAAACGGATGTCTGCCAAACATGTAAAGCCTGTTGTATTATGGTTCTGAATTAGATTACTAAATTGCTAAACTTACTGAATTAGATTACTTTCCCAAGATCTGAGATCCGGATCATATTCACCTTCATCATCATTTTTGAAGGTGTAGATAATGCAAATCATTTGCCTTATTAATCTGTTTTCCTATGCGTTTTAGAGATCCTACAATAGATTTTATTGTACTTAAGGACTTAAGCATTAGGAAGTGAGACCAGCCTCTGCGTTGTTTCCCAGAAAAGTCACCAGAAAAACGGTAATGACTGCATGGCTCACAGTTTGACAATAACTGAGCAATTACCTTCTGGTGATGCTTGATTGCTTTGGTGTTTTCTAACTGATATGAAAGGGTGGCATCCACTTTGTGTTTAGCCAGCTCTAACATGCATAACTGAACCCTTAAAGAGCTTGGCAATTAGCTGGAGAGATTTAACTAGATATTTTTATTCAGTACAGTGAAGTTACTAGCATGCTTCAGGAATCTTGTCTGACAACCCTGCAGCAATAGCTTAGATATACTGAGACTTGATAAGTGAATCTGTCTGTATAATGACACATTAAAAGGCTTTATAGTGTTAACATGGAACACTTATAACTAGTATCAGCACATGTTGCTGAAATATATTGAATTCTTGTGTAAGGATAATTTATCCATCTGTGTCAATTTTATTTGTTTTATGTGTTGCAGTTTATTAAATGGAAACAGCTGTGAAAAATCATTAATAATGTAGTTTTTCAAGTATTTTTGTATATTGACGAACATTTCAATGTATTTTTATAGTAATGCTTGGTGTCTTTTTTCTGTCTTCTTAAATAAACATTTGTAGTACGATTAACTGAACTTTTAATAGTGTTTGCTGAAATGTTTTGCTAGGAACATTGTTTGTAGTGGCATTTCAGATGTATAAACACATTTTATGCTATTTCCCTGTGCATTTTAGATTGTGTTGGTGTTCCTTTTAAGAATATATAAAGCAGCTGTGTTGTCTCAGTTTGTTGTAACTTGAAGAATTCACATTTTTATACTATACACTCTCAGGAGTTTTTGTGGCAAAAATGATGGTTATAAAGTTTTTAGCTATAGTGTAAAATTCTTTTGATTGTATATTGCTTTACATTAAGTTTTTTCTTTTAAAATAGCAAATTAACAGTTCATTTATCAAGTACCATCTGGGGAGACTCTCCTTTATGAAACCAAAACAATGCAGCTTATTATTTAAAGATCACCCTTACTGTACTGTACACCCAGCTCAATAGAGCCCATAGCATTTGCTTTTTGGTGAGTGTTGGAAAGAGTCATAGAAATTGTAACTGCAATAAAGGAAGGGCCTGGATGTAAAAGTGGGATGTAAACTAAGTTTTTAGCATTCATGCTTCATTAGGGTTTTTACACCCATTAGTGAATCGCATTACCTTAAAATCTGATCAAAAGCTAAAGTGACCACAAGCTGCTATAGTTAGTATTTTGCTAGAATGACATGTTAAACACATCTATTTAATTCAAGCTTCATTTATATCATAAGTCAGATGGATTACTTGGTTTGCTTTGGTGATACACAGCGATCACTCAATTAATTAGTCAGTAGTGCTTCTTGGGTTTCCTCCTGCTAATTTAGGGTTTGAGGGTCCCAGAGTAGCTGTAATTAGGAGAAGGGTTAGCTTTGGTGTATCTTTAGTTGAAACCACTTGATCATAGTCTCCTTGTGTGCTTTAGACATTGCCTTACACATAACAATTAGGATTTTGATGGAACTGTTTGTTCAAAAGTCTGTTGTGTCCATCCATTTTAAGGTGTGTTTATACAGTGCCTATGTTCCAATTGCTAACACATTAACAAGCAATATAACCATATCTGTTATACACTATATTGCCAAAAGTATTTGCTCGTCTACCTTCACACGCATATGAACTTGAGTGACATCCCATTCTTAATCCATAGGGTTTAATATGATCTCGGCCCACCCTTTGCAGCTATAACAGCTTCAACTCTTCTGGGAAGGCTTTCCACAAGGTTTAGGAGTGTGTTTATGGGAATTTTTGACCAAGCGCATTTGTGAGGTCAGACACTGATGTTGGAAAAGAAGGCCTGGCTCGCAGTCTCCACTCTAATTCATCCCAAATGTGTTCTGTCGGGTTGAGGTCAGGACAAAAATAAAACGTGATTCACAAATAAATTGTTATTCACTAAAGAAAATAAGATCTACAAATAAATAAAACAGGTTATATACGAGATCAATATTTTTGTATTTCACAAATAACAAATGTGTTTGGGATTCACAAACACGTTTTTTCCACTCATTTATATGTGGAAACGATTGCATTCATTTGTGGATTGCTCCATGTGCATTTATGGATTTTCACTGGGTCTACTCTAGGCAATCAGAATATAACACAGCCTTTCGATAATGCCTTCTTTACCTCAAAAAATCAGCTCAAGCTGTACAGAGCAGCAGGGTTGAAGTAATTTGGGTAGCTTCCATGCGGCTACGATCGCAGGGGCTGAGCTTTTCAGGTACATTTGGAGAACTGTTCATGTTTTGGATGTTAAAACCACAGACTACTTAAGCTCAACCAAAAAGAAGAGAAAACACTGTTATGGAGGAGTGAACACGAAACAGCTTTCTTCATTTCCTCTTACTATATGTAAGCTCTTACTGTAATGTATAGCTAGATAGCTAGCTAGCTGGTTGACTTTAGCTTCATGTTGTCCAAGCACTTCAGATATAGATTTTGTGTGTGTTTTGCACACAGAGTTTACTGTCTTTACATTTTGCTCATTGGCAATCACCAGTCATTAACATTTACATTAACTAGCTAGCTACCTAGAGCCCTGTGGCAGCAGGACAGTCAAATATTGATAATTGATCACATTTACATAGACACCAATAATATGGTTAACAAATCACAGTGAATACATCTCTCTTTTTATTTCTACTGTCCCATTAGTTAGATCTTGGATGTCTAATATTAGTGTGTGTCAAGCTGAGTGTGACACCTCTAGATGACTTATAACCTTCAGTGTCTTAATGGCTTTGAATATGCTTCAAAATGATTGGTTCTGTAGGGCCTCTCAGCTGGGGTAGAAAACACCTTTATTACAATTTTCCCCTGAAACAAATACAACATTTTTGGATGTTGATTGCTACTTGTAAGATTGTAAGGTAGTTCAGAAGTAGAGTAAAAAAGCTGATACGACGCACCAGTTCTACCTGCTAAGAAACAGCACCTCAGTATGTCCTTATCTGTTTTAGTGATCAAGAAAATTTAATTTGATCAAAAAATCACAGGAAATATTTAAGAATTTACAGTACTACACTAGTCAAACCTTTACAACCTCAGAATTTTAGAAATTTTAGTATCTGTCAAAGTAAACTTTGTATGGAGACGTAATTGTTCTGAGCAAGGGCAAGCAGCTGGTTGGTTTATTTATTTATGCTAGATCATCTACTTATGCCAACCATTTTGCCCATCCCTTCCATCTTCCAAGCAGCAGGAAAGAAGTTGGGTTTCCCTTAAGGTAATGTTACAGTTTTCAGAAATATCATAGAGAGACCCAGAGCAGCATTTTTAAATCCTGCTTCTGGCAACTCACAGCACTGAACAGTTTCAACACCCCTGATACAGCTCTTGAAGGGCTTCATAATCAGTTGAAGGGCTGGATCAGGTGTATTGAGTCAAGGAATATTTAAAATCGCACAAAGCTGTAGGTCATCAGGAGCAGGGTAAAAAACACTGCTTTGCAGTATTGCCACCCTGGTGTGTATAATCACAGGTAAGATAAACTACTTGTAACATTACCAAAGATGAGCAGCTCTGGTGGAGGACCTTTGTCCAGCACAGTTTTGTGATGGCCCTGTTCATGCACCCTTGTTCAACTCATCTGTTCATTACCAGGCCCAGTAGTGTTTGAGCTGAGAAATCACCAGACTGTGCTGGACTGTGGCATTCCAGGGCCAGTGTTGTCCTGAAATACACCATCAATTGCTGGAGTGCACCTGCTTTTATGCACCATACATCAGTTTAGGTAGAAGCACACATACTGATATGCTGACACAAAATAAGTTTTTAATGACTTACTTGATATGATGACTGTAAAATCTGTCATAGATTTATGTACCAGTTTGTTACTGTGATTGTTAAAATACAAAAAACTATGCGAATACTACAATATACAAATGTGTCAATCTTTGTGTTAATTTTTGTATTGTTCGAGCCAACCAGGGTCCTTTCTGTGTGGGGTCTGTGTGGGTTTCCTCTGGGTACTCCAGTTTCCTCCCACAGTCCAAAAACATGCAGTCAGGCCAATTGGACATGCTAAACCACACACGTGTGTGAATGTATATGTATTATGTATGTATGTCTGTCTGTCTGTCTGCCCTGCGATGAACTGGTGACCTGTCCTGGGTGTTTCCTGCCTTCCACCCAATGACTGCTGGGATAGGCTCCAGGTGACCCAGAAAGAAAGGATAAGCAGCTTAAAAAGTGTGTTTGTGTGTGTGTGTGTGTGTGTGTGTGTGTGTATCAAGGGACATGTTATGACTGGGAAGCAGATTCTTTATACATAACATAAGATGTTTGGATGCACGTAACTACACTGTAAATTCAAATGATAAAGGAGAAGGTAAAAAATAAATCATAGACGTGAACTTCTTTTTGGTGTGCAATATCCTGTTGAGTCAGGAAATGTGCACATGAGCATATCAAATTAAAATAGACTTTCACCCCAAACAAGTCCAGAAATAGGAAGCCAAAGAGTCATGCAGCAAGCCTTTAATAATCTTCCACACTCTCACTTGCTAATAAGAGAACAAATAACCTAGCTTTAAAATGCCTAAAGTGTCTTCAAAAATTCTGTATAATTAAAATGTTTCAATTTAAACAAAGTTCAAAATTAAATGTAAATCAAAATTCAGAGTGGTTTAATATGAAATGCTGCGTTCTAGAGACTCAGAGTGATGGGAACCAAACATCCAAAGGGTTTAATGCCTCTAAAAGCTAACTCGCAGAAAACTATTTAAAGAAATGGTTGCAAATACATTGTCTGATGCATGATTCACTGGTATGTGATAGTTTTAAGATAAGCTTTTGGACTAATATGTATTTTTAAATTACATTAATAGAGGAGAGGTATGTGTAGTGTCCTATACCAATATGGTGCACAAAGAAAATTCCATATTTACAACAATTTTACCATTATCAACATTGCTTATAAAAACTCATATGCATGTAGATAAAATGTCTATATTTGTGTTGACTGGTTCCTATCACCACCACTGTAAAGAAATCTGTGCTGACAACTTTCTCTTGAATAAACACAATCACTCTCAAATTTTACTCTTTTTTTACTTCTCAATCATAAAAATATGCTAATAGTGGGTGGGATTCTTATTGTAAGAAGTTGCAACAATGTTAGCGTCAGGTAGAAAACTGATGTGCAAATTAACATTTAACACAGCAGGGTGTAACACTCACCTATGGCCAGTCTTCACATGCAGCCATCTAAGTCTTCAGAAAAACTGATTTATTAAAAAAGATGTATTCACTTTGATTTATTAATCATATTCTTTGTGCCCACGTAAATGTGATCACTTATCAACGATTGAATGTCTTGCTGCCAGAGAGCTCTAGATAGCTAGTTAGCTAATGTTAATGATGGGTGATGCCTTTTCCTATATGAAGAGCTTGGACAACATGAAGCTAAAGTTAACAA